TGACCATAGAAGATTTCATGGTTCTAATATGAGGCAATAGATTGGTGTATGTGTCTCTTCGAAACAAAATACAAGAACAATATACTTAAATGCAATAGTGCACATCGTCGCCACTCATTCATATAGACTACTGGCATGTAATTAAAAAAAGAACTAAGCAAGCATTAGGTGCTCTCATGTAGAATAAGATGCAAGACAGTGAAAATGATTAGTTTGCTCAATTCGAAAATATTCCAGAAACTCTGAGCTAACTGTTACCGAATTGAGTAAATTCACCCAACTAGGTCCTAAACTTTGTTGATTGTGTTGAATTTGGTACAATTTGAGCTACTATTCATTGTGGTTGATTTTATTTTTTGAGTTTGGATAATGAAATTTTCTAGTGACTTTGAAAGATCAACGTGATGATGGGTTTTTAAAGATTTTTAACTTTTTTATATGTGATAATTTGATAGCTTGTATGGACACTCCAGCAATTATCCCACGTGATACAACAATGGATGAAGATGAAAACAAACATATAGGGCTTGACCTTGAAGGCGAGCACCATGATCAACTATCTACGGCAAGTTCTTTTCCTCAAGTGATAATACCCTATTTTTTATAGTGTACTGCTATCTAATGACATATACCAAAATATTTGTCTTTTAGCATGAATTGGGTCTTTTTTCATAATTTTTGTTTCTTTATTTTTGTAGGCATCCGAGCATAAGGAGAATGTTGATGGCCCTATTAGTGTCGAAAATAGAGAAGGCAATCTTGTTGTTGATCCATATATCGGAATGGAGTTCTCTACTCATGAGGAAGGTTATAATTTTTACAATGCATATGCCAGACTTAAGGGATTTGGTATTCGCAAGGGTCATACAGCACGGTCGAGAAAGAAAGATGCAATCATATCTAGAACCTTTGTATGTGACAAAGAAGGCTTTAAATTTTTAAAAGATAAAAGAGAAGATGGTCGGAATGTAATTCGAAAGTCCGATACAAGATGTGGATGCAACGCAAGGATGGTTATTGGACTTGATAGAAGTACTGGAAAATGGGTGGTGCGGAGTTTAAATGTTAATCATAATGGCCATCTGTTAACCACCCCAAATCGGTAAAGAAGAACTACTCGCATCGGACACTTCATCGATCTCGAGCGACAAAAAGGTTGATAGATACTCTTGACAGCCAAGGTTTACGGCCTTCTACCATTTGTAAGGTTTTAGACGTTGCTCATGGAAATGAACAAGGCTCTCTCACACCACAAGAATGCCAAGGTCATCTAAGAATTAAACGAAGAAACAATGTCGGCCATGAGTGCGTGAACATAGTTCGTCAATTTCAAGAGAAAAAGGTATCTGACCCTCAATTTTACTTTGCACTAGATTTAGAAAATGATGGGACGATGAGAAGTGTTTTTTGGATGGATGGTAGGGCAAGGACTTCTTACTTGCAGTTTGGAGACGTTGTTTGTTTTGATGTTACATATAGAACAAATAATTTAAAATTGCCGTTTGCACCATTTACGGGTGTTAACCATCACCGACAATCTATTCTATTTGGGTGTGCACTATTGGCCGATGAAATGGAGGAGACATTTATATGGTTATTTACCCAATGGCTGAAATGTATGTCAGGTATAGCACCATTAACAATCATCACTGATCAAGATAAAGCTATTTGTGGTACAATTCACAAAGTTTTTCCTCAAACTCGACATCGTTTTTGTTCTTGGCACCTTCATAGGAATGCATTACAAAATTTTCAATCAATGCGTTATGATTTTGGTGATGAAGTTTCTATAAAGTATTACAAATGGTATTGGAGTAAATCAGAAGAAAAATTTGAAAAGCGCTGGGAAGAAATGAGGGATAAATATGGTACAGATAAAAGGAGCTGGTTAGTTAATTTATACAATCATCGAGATCATTGGGCTCCTGTATATCTTAAAGATACTTTTACTGCAGGAATGACATCTACTCAGCGGAGTGAGGGAATTAATGCTTTTTTTGATCACTTTGTTAATTCCAATACCGAGTTACATGATTTTGTTAAGCAATATGATAATGCTGTCAGAGCTCGACGAGCGGCCGAACTTGAGCAAGATTTTAAGTCCACAAACACAATTCCTACATTGATAATTGATCATCCAATTGAAAAACAAGCTAGGGAGAATTATACAAAGAATATGTTTACTATCTTTCAGAAAGAACTCAAGGATAGTTACTCAATGCTTCATGAGAGGTTGTCGAAGGATGGCGCAAGTGTTACTTATGCCGTTTGGAATATAGATAGGGAGGCTGGAAGCAAGAAGGTAGAAAAGCATCATGTTGTCTTCGATGCATCCAAAGAAAAAAGAATTAAGTGTTCTTGTGCAAGATTTGAGATGGAAGGTATATTATGCAAACATAGTTTGCACATTTTAATAAAGAAGCAAGTATTAGAAATTCCATCAAGATATATTATGCAACGATGGACAATTAATGCAAGACATGTTGGGTTTGGAGTTGTTAGAAATTGCATTACAAATAGTAAAGACCAACTCTCTATCATTAAACATTGGGCTATTAGGAGTAGATGTAACAAGGCACTAGAAGACACATTGACTTCAAGTATACTTCATGATAAGTTTAGTGCTCTTTTAGACTCTTTTTTTGAAGAAGTTGAGAATTACAATAAAGAGAAGGAACATAACGATGATGGAAATGAGAGCAATGCCAGCAACAAGATGCCTACTTCATCCATACCCATCTCTATAGAGGAAGCAACTCAAATTACTATTTGTGATCCAGATAAGCCCGTTGCCATGAAGGGACGGCCAACTCAGGCTACTAGAATTAAGTCCGGAATGGAAATATCACAAGAAAAGAGTATAAAAAAGCAAAGATTTTGTGGATTTTGTAAGGGAAAAGGACATTATATAACAAGTTGTCCTTTAGCTAAGGTATTATATTTCATCATAATTTGATGCCACCCCCCCCAAATTCGATGTATTTTTCATAATAAAGTTATTTTTTTTGTAGGTGAAAAATGTTGCAGGTGGAGGTCGAGAAATTTAATGGAGAGCTAAAACAAATTAGTTTGCAAGCGTATTTCCCTGACTTACAATAACCATCATGTGTTTCGGAACATTGTGATAATTTGAACTAAAGTTATGAATGTATGGAGGCAATTATTTGTTGTTTGAACCTTTTGTACCCATAGTTTGCTAGATGATAATGTAGTTGTATAAAAATTTGAAATAAAATTATGTATGTATGGATGCAGTTATGTGTTCTTTGAACCTTGTGTACCTTAATTTTGTGAGTTGATAATTTTGGAAGGAGTTACAAAAATTAATGAGTTACAAAAGTTTTTCAGAACTATGAGTTACAAAACTTCACCAACGGGTTACATGGTCTAACGAGTTACAAAAATTGATTAAGGGGTTATAATTTTTTTTCAGAATTAAGAGTTACAAAACTTGATTAAGGGGTTACAAAACTGGTCTAAGGAGTTATAAAATTATTTTAAGGAGTTACAAATTTTTTTCGAAACTATGAGTTACAAAACTTCACCAACGGGTTACAAAACTAGTCTAACGAGTTACAAAAATTGATTAAGGGGTTATAAATTTTTTTTTTCAGAATTAAGAGTTACAAAACTTGATTAAGGGGTTACAAAACTGGTCTAAGGAGTTATAATTTTTTTTTAAGGAGTTACAAATTTTTTTCGGAACTATGAGTTACAAAACTTCACCAACGGGTTACAAAACTGGTCTAACGAGTTACAAAAATTGATTAAGGGGTTATAAATTTTTTTTTCAGAATTAAGAGTTAAAAAACTTGATTAAGGGGTTAAAAAACTGGTCTAAGGAGTTATAAATTTTTTTAAGGAGTTACAAATTTTTTTCGGAACTATGAGTTACAAAACTTCACCAACGGGTTACAAAACTAGTCTAACGAGTTACAAAAATTGATTAAGGGGTTATAAATTTTTTTTTTCAGAATTAAGAGTTACAAAACTTGATTAAGGGGTTACAAAACTGGTCTAAGGAGTTATAAATTTTTTTTAAGGAGTTACAAATTTTTTTCGGAACTATGAGTTACAAAACTTCACCAACGGGTTACAAAACTGGTCTAACGAGTTACAAAAATTGATTAAGGGGTTATAAATTTTTTTTTCAGAATTATGAGTTACAAAACTTGATTAAGGGGTTACAAAACTGGTTTAAGGAGTTATAAATTTTTTTTAAGGAGTTACAATTTTTTTTCGGAACTATGAGTTACAAAACTTCACCAACGGGTTACAAAACTGGTCTAACGAGTTACAAAAATTGATTAAGGGGTTATAATTTTTTTTTCCAGAATTAAGAGTTACAAAACTTGATTAAGGGGTTACAAAACTGGTCTAAGGAGTTATAAATTTTTTTTAAGGAGTTACAAATTTTTTTCGGAACTATGAGTTACAAAACTTCACCAACGGGTTACAAAACTGGTCTAACGAGTTACAAAAATTGATTAAGGGGTTATAATTTTTTTTTTCAGAATTAAGAGTTACAAAACTTGATTAAGGGGTTACAAAACTGGTCTAAGGAGTTATAAAATTTTATTAAGGAGTTACAAATTTTTTTCGGAACTATGAGTTACAAAACTTCACCAACGGGTTATAAAACTGGTCTAACGAGTTACAAAAATTGATTAAGGGGTTATAAATTTTTTTTTTCAGAATTAAGAGTTACAAAACTTGATTAAGGGGTTACAAAACTGGTCTAAGGAGTTATACATTTTTTTAAGGAGTTACAAATTTTTTCGGAACTATGAGTTACAAAAATTTTGAAGGAGTGAATTTTTTTTTAAGGAGTTACAAATTTCCACCAAACACATCAAGCTCCATGCCCTTATTGAAGATTAATATCATGGTTCTTAGACTTGCTAATGATATTTTTTTGAGAAAATATTTGCTAGTCCTATTATGAGAGATTATCAAGAGAGAAAAAGGAGCAAAAGTTACTTAACATAGCTAGTTTGGAAATAAGATATCATTAAATAAGATATCCTCTGCCACAATTGATCATAACATAGCAAGTGTAAAGTTTTCAAGATCTAGATACCTATAACAACTGAAGTTCCACCAAACAGTAACATGTCTTTTCCATTTAATGTACTAAAAAAGAACAAAAGTGGACGGGAGAGAAGCATTTCTAAATAGCCAGAGATACAATAAGCAGAAACATCGGCTAATTAGATTCGCCCACAAAAGATTTCAAGGGTGCATCTTGATGGGATCGACGAGAAGAAGAATATGCTGATATTGTAGAACTTGTTATGCTTAGCGATTGCTTGGTGAGGTCCTTGCATTTCTTGGCAGCAAACAAAACTACCAAAAGAATCACACCCACCCTGTAACAAAAGAGTCAATACGGATTTATCATTTGAGAATTCAATCCAAAGATCTAAAGTATGTATGCAAGATGAAACATCGAAAGTAATGAAAAATCCTAAATTGATGATATGGTAACCCATGCTTTCAATCAATGATCTGATCAAAAGAGAATATATAATTTGCCTGCTACTGTCACCTTATTACTTTCAATGCAACTACATGCAATGCAGTTTATTTTAGTTTTCACTGCAACCATATGCAATGCATGCACTGTAGTCAGTGAATCTTTACTTCACCGAATATGCAGGCTATCTTTTAGTCAGTTAATTTCAACAATAACAATTCACATCTTGCAGTGAGTGGAGGATTTAAGCCAACTTGAAACAATGGACCAAACATCAAAGGCGTTCTCTACATCCCAAAGAGAATCCCACGGTGAAAATTAAGGAATTAATGACATGCTCTTCCATCTATTTTAGCTTGTGTAAAGAGTAATATTTGAGTAATTACCTTGTGAATTACAATCGTCAGAAATATGGTGAATTGCGTGCATACAAGAGAGCTGCACAAAACTTTGCTCTGTATTTTGCACACTTTCCTTGTGAGATTGTTATCGATCGCTTTTCGACAATGCTATTAATGAATTCAATCACAAAGATCCCACAATCTAAGGTTCTGCATTTAGCAAAAAAACATAATTACGACATTAAAAATTACCTTCGAGGAAAAAATTGAAATATTACAATGTAAATGCATGAAACACGTACGGTCCTTGTTGAGGAGCGGCAACTGACACAAGTTCATGGTGCTCTAATTTCCCCAACGTCCAATTACTCTCTATGAAACTCATAAACTTATTTTTAAATTTCGCAGCATCGGCGGTATAAAGGGAAGACTTGATTGAGGAGTAGTGATAAAATTTTTTCTCCTCCCTCACTAACTCTACCATGTGCCAATGTTCGGAGCTGACAATTGGAATTAAAATTCTTTCACACTCACAAAACTTCTGCTGAGAAACATTTTCCTTCATTCGTTTTGCCATCATTTCAATAGTTCCTTTCAGAAATGCTTGCTACAAAGAGGCATCAATGTAAACCATGTAAAGGAAACATAATAATAAATACCAACATCCAATGAAAAAACAGGGATATACTTACTGCAAGCCAAGGTCTCGTACCATGTATTTTTCGATCATAACTATTAGTTGTCTCAATCTTATAACAAAGTCGAATAACAATTGCATCGATGACCTACAAAAATTACCATTAATGAGTGAAATATTTATAACTAATATATACAACATCAACCACCAACCATGACACAATTTATCACCTACATCGTCACTGAGTTCACCTCCTGTTAAAAGTCTATAAGCATCTAAGCGAGATACACTTGCTTCGGCACACTTCCAAACGTATGTATCACTATATGCAAGTAAGTGTGAGAAAATTGTGACTAAAATTAAGTTAATTTAAAGAATTATTATTAGAATAAGTCCTTAACAGTTACCTGGTCATTTTCAGTTGTAGAAAGTTGTCTATTACTTTGTCCTCATAATCAGAGACCAATGTCTTTCCTGGATAGCTGCGAGATCTAGGTATGAAGCCTTCTTCATTTATGCACTTCTTTTTAGGAGTCCCCTCAGGACTATCCAAGATCTGGATAACACGTTTCTTCTTTGTGACTTCTTTGGGTAGATCTAGACGCAAATAGGGTGAAGTGACAAAGGGTCCATCCTTCCTCTTCCTCTTTCTGACAGCCCGTTTGATGGATGGGGTTTCCCTCTTATTATCATTACCACCTTCCTCATTTTGAGAAAAATCTCTAAGGAGTTGAAATGCATATAATTAACAAAGAGATACACAAACATTATACAAAAAGTTAAAAAAGAAAAAACTAAGAGAATAGAAACTCACAATTCATGTTCAATATCGACTTTCTCATTTTCTTCTTCTATATTTTCCTTGAAGTGGGTTTCATTATCCTCTATCACTTTCTCTTCCACATTCTCATTATCATTAGCTTTTGTATCCTCTTTGCTTTTATTCTCTGCATTAGCAGTTACCGTATCCTCTTTCTCCTTGTTCTTTTTTATGCCTCTAGCACCACGCTCTTCTAATTCTCGTAATTCAGCAGTGAGCTCATTCA